TGTTTTGTTTGTAAATGACACTTCAGACTGAAAAATATTTACTGACAAAAACTACAGATGGTTGAAAGTGTCAAACTAGGAAAATCCATGACATTAAAATCAGGGACAAAATGACAAACACAGAGTTTTTGCTACATATTCTAAACGTATTCTAATGTACTGCCCATATTGAAAAACCTATCCCAGTCTGCTTTCATTGATGGCCTTTTCATTTAATGAAGAATTTACTTGCACTGTCATATTAGTTCACAAACTTGAAAGAGGTGTGTTGTGCTGGTACAAGTGGATCAGACACAGCAGTGCTGCTGGAGTTTTTAAACACTGTGTCCACTCACTGTCCACTCTATTAGATGCAACTACGTTGTGGTCCACCTTGTAGATGTAAAGTCAGAGACGATAGCTCATCTGCTGCTGCACAGTTTGTGTTGGTCATCCTCTAGTCCTTCATCAGTGGTCACAGGACGCTGCCCACAGGACGCTGTTGGCTGGATATTTTTGGTTGGTGGACTATTCTCAGTCCAGCAGTGACACTGAGGTGTTTAAAAACTCCAGCAGCACTGTTGTGTCTGATCCACACAGACCAGCACAACACACACTTACACACCACCACCACGTCAGTGTTACTGCAGTGCTGAGAATGATCCACCACACAATAGTACCTGCTCTGTGAGGGTCCATGGGGGTCCTGACCACTGAAGAACAGGGTAAAAGGGGGCTAACAAAGTACACAGAGAAACAGATGGACTACAGTCTGTAACTGTAGAACTACAAAGTGCACCTATATAGTAAGTGGAGCTGATTAAATGGACAATGAGCGTAGAAACAAGGAGGTGGTCAGAATGTTATGGCGTATGGTGTATATTCTTACTGTATAATTAATTCTAAATGTATACTGAAAGTATCCCACTGAAAATGGATGTCAACCAGCCCATTCTACAGCGCTGATCCGAAGGGGCCATTTGAGATCCACGCATGGCAGCTTTTATTAGCATCCTTCCTTAGCGTTAGCAACATTTCCTCCTCCAGAAATAGCAGATTCTTGCTCCGCCTGCCAAAGTAAACCAAGTCTACTGGTGTCGTTTTCCTAGCCTGTCACCACAGCTATCACTTAGTGTCTTTAGGCCTTTGAAATCTCCCTCAGTGGACGTCCAAAACTGTCACCGCTTGGGCGTTGGCATGCGGTCGGCCCTCCAGGCCTGCAGCACGCTGGAGCCACTGGTAGCGCTCCCCGTGTCTGCAGTCAAAGCAACCTACAATCATAAATCACGCCCTGCTGTCCTCATAGGCAGAACGAATGATGGATGCTACTTCAGCTTATCATCATTGAGGAAAAGAGACGGCTCCTATAACAGTAACAGCAGCCGTGGAAGGAATCCCACTTCTTATAAACCTCTCGTGAAACGCGGCTTTGTTGTTCAATAAATGCCAAGCAGTGCCGAAGCGCTCATTTACGGAGGATGGAAAGGTTGAAGGTGCTAGACTACCAGCAGTTTGTGTTCCATTATAGTAATGGGAACGTGAAGGTGTAATAGAGAAGTTTATGATCATTAAAGTCGCGCTTCGTCCCAAATGACAATGAAGTAAAGGCCAACGCACGCATAAAGAGTCCCGCCGGTCGTCCGACTGAGAGAAAGACCATTTCATTTATGTCCTAATGAATATAATTACATGGACACGACCTGACTCCGGGTCACTACCTTCACTCTGAGATGGGCGATAAAGTCAGGCTATTACACCCACTCAAATTAGACCTTATTATCTTTTTTATTCTCAGAGATTCCTTCAGTTTTAATCTGTGTGATGATGAATCCAAGGTATATTCTCCAGGGGGGGGCACTTTAGGATAAAGGCTCTTTGGTAAATATGACTGCGCCAAGCAAAATATCATATTAGAATGTGTGCAGCTTCACACATGTATATGTCAGTAATTTCGAGTGCATGCTTGCCATTGCCAGGAGCCTTAGAACCCTATTTGCATCGCCATTGCTTTTTTTGGTCCCACATTATGATTTCAGGCAGTGCTGATTACCATGGGATCTGCCTGGATCCTTCATTACTAATCCACTTTATTTTATTTAGTGCTCTAATAATGTACATTGAAAGCTATTGAAAGCAAAAAAGCAAATATATCGTGAAATCACTGAATTTTACTCACTTTTTTGAAGAATTTGGTGTAGTATTTGGACCATTTAATTGGTTTAAAGTCACATTTTGGACTTTTAACCTCTTCAACTCCTTGGGACCACCAGTGGTTCCAAAACGCACTTTGTCATATTCTTCATAACTTTCATATTTCATAAGCTACATTCAAAAGGTGGGGGTCGTATGAGAGTCTTCTTTTAGTCAAATAGATGGGTGATGTAATTTTAAACCCTTATAATAAAAGAAGCTGAACTCACAATTTTTTTTTTCTACTGAAAGTCGACCCATTTTTCCACAAATCTGGGCTATAAACTATAAACAGATGGCGTCTCTTCAGTGATCTGCTCTGTAAAACATTATTTTTATAAAATAACACAAAGAGCGTCTGAGATTTTTGGCTTTCAGCAGTAAATTGTAAGGATATACCAATATGTGTGATCATAAAACACATGTTCTGTTAATCTGAGGGGAGCTTTTACCAAAATAAATAAATAAATAAAATATACATTTACATTTATTTCATGCAGTTACTGAATAATTAGCCTTACGATTTGGTCATGTAAATTCAGATGGCCAAACCAAAACATACCCTGGAGAATAAGAGGTTAACTGACCTGGACTGTAGACTCCTTTTGCTTTGAGTGACTTTATGCTTTAGACACGTTTATTTTATGAAAACAAATGACTGAACACTCCATTTAATCACTAAGGCTGTTTTCACACCTCTTTGGTTTGCTGATGAGTGTACCAGACTTTTTTGACATTGTGTCTTTTTTATTTGCTTTGGTTGGTTTCACATTCAAACGGCTAAAGTGCACCACATTAAACACATCAGTGCTGTTTATAAGTCAGAAATGCTGCAGGGATGGCAGAGCTCTGTTACTCTCACACACCTGAGCTAAACATGTCCTACTTTACACGAAAATAGAAACAGTCACTAATAAACCTTGCTGTATATCTGCTTCTTTATGATTGGCTTGTCAATCTGAATGTAACCAGTTAGATAACAGATGCAGTACGTTCCACAGTCCATGTGTCAAAATCAAATGCATTGCTTTGCCAATATTTTATAGCTTGTTTGCCATTATTAGCACCTTATAAAGCTTTGCAAGAGTCAGATGTTAAAACAGGCAGATTATGCAGACGGTACTGCACTGATTTGCTGTTAGGCTCTGATATTGAATTCTCTCGTTTGGTGCAGTTCAGTTGTTTAGTGCACACCCAAGTATGGGTGGAGTGTTTACACCTGTCAAAACAAACCCAAATAAAGAACAAGTTCAACTGGTTCACACCAAACAAGATAGGTGTTAAAGCATCTTAACAAAAACAGACAGAACACTACCGAAACGTTACCAAATGTTTCAGTAGAGACTGTTTTGGTAGAAACAATTTTGAACAGAACTCAAAAACACCAGCCAGTGCACAACCAGCAAACACAGCTTTGAACAGCTGTACACGCATAAAATCATCATGTGTTAACAGGTGTTTTGGTGGTGACACTGATTTTCAGACTTTGGGACACGTTTACTTCAAAACAGTGGGATCTAACTGCTCACCATGTGGACATGAGGGACAGGGATGCAGCCTCACTTCCTGCTCTAACATGCAGGGGCGCGGCTAAAATAAGGCCCCGCCTACAGACTAAAACTCTTTGCATTTTGTTAGTGACATGAACGTGTCGGACAGCAATTTTTGGATAAATTTTTTTGTTAAAAATTAAGCTGATGATAAATCTAAGTCATCTTCGCTTTAAAAGATATCAAAAAGGTCTTTCTTAAAAAAAATCATTGAAAAAAAGGTTCGGGTCAAGTTAAACTGCCGCCCATTCATACTGAGGTTATAAGGACTGTTGTGTATATATATTTATGGGAGACTTAGGAGTCTTAATGAACTAATATCTCCCATTCTAGTGTGTAATGGTTTTTACTGAGGTCATTAATCGATTAATATCTCCCTTTCTAGTGTGTAAGCGTTTTTATTAAGGTCATAAATTAACTAATATCTCCCATTCTAGTGTGTAATGTTTTTTATTGAGGTCATTAATGAACTAATATCTCCCATTCTAGTGTATATGGGTTTTTATTGAGGGCACTTATGGACTAAAATCTCCGCTTCTAGTACATAAGGGTGTTTATTGAGGTCATTAATTGACTAATATCTCCCATTCTAGTGTGTAAGGGTTTTTATTGAGGTCATAAATGGACTAATAGCTCTCATTCTAACATATGAGGGTGGTTATTGAGGTAATTAATGGACTAATATAGTCTTAGAGGCACAGGAACAGCCATGTAAAAATGAATTATGTTATTTTTGTCACATAAACTGCCAAAAATGTCATAAATAGACCCCCAGGAAACAGAACTGAATGTGGACAAATGTATGAGATTGAATTTTGATATTTTAGGGAGTTTATTTATGCCGCCTGAGAGGCAATGTACGTGAGAAGGTGTTCTCACTCACTACATGAAGGTCTTTAGAGTGCAGACCGAGTTGCCTTTAACAGCTCCATGAAAGGAAATGTCATATGAAACAATCCCATGAAATTTGACATTTCAATTTTGAAAACTGCTGCAGGTATTGAAGTGCGACCAAAAGGCAGCTGCATTGTACAGCACTCTATTTTCTCCAGACGTTTTTACTCACTGCTCAATTGCCTGCTAGACACAATGTTGCTGTGTAGTGTCACAAGAGAAGGTTACGCTGTGAAGAGGGAGGTTATTAAAATAAGACTTTTCCAATACAGACACTGCACCGAAGGGAACAGTGCTGTATGATTCAAGCTAAAGCAATAAGCACTGTGGAATAACGGTGCCTGTTCACCACAACGTCCTAACAGTTTATGTCTCTTTCTTTTGCAGATGTTCTGTGCCGTAATATGAAGGTGGAGGCGGACCGCTTCATGCCCAACTCTACGATTGCTGGCCAGAAGGAAGTTCCAGGTGACTTAATTCTCATGCTTCCTCTCACACTACCCACATCCTCTGGTGTAGGCCTACTGTGGTGGTCAGCTGGGGGGCATTTCAGGAAATGAGATTTATAGGTTTTCCAGGTAGTTGAACCACAAAACCAGAAAGCGTACAATAAGAAGAGAAGTAAGTGGGGTTGCTGTTGAATGGTCTGGATTGTTGGACGTTCTGGAAGTTGTCTAGTTAATCCTACCAGACGAGCTGTTCCACTAACAGGAGGACATTGTTTTTAGGCCTTCGCTGCTTCGCATTTCTTTGAGTGAGAGATGCAGTTTTTTCATGTAAAACTAGAGATAATGGGCAAACCAGCATGACCCAGTCAACAGAGTTTGTCCAGCTGCTTGATGCATGTCCTTATCATTATATATATATATATATATATATATATATATATATATATATATCATTATTGATATAAAGAGTGTTTGAGTTGGTTGTCTCTAGTAGGCTGATTCATAGACTAATATAGGATGCTTATTGAGGTCATTAATGGACTAATATCTCCCATTCTAATGTGTAAGGGTTTTATTAAGGTCTTTAAATGGACTAATATCCCCAATTCAAGTGTATAAAGGTTTTTATTTAGTGTATAAAGGTTTTTATTTTATTGGTAATTAATTGACTGATGTCTCCCATTCTAGAGTATAAGAATTTTTATTGAGGTCATAAATTGACTAATATCTCCCATTCTAGTGTATAAGGGTGGTTATGGAGGTCATAAATGAACTAATATCTTCCATTCTATTGTACAGAAGTGTTTTTGAGGTTGTTTATATATTTAAATCACCTGTTCTTGCGTTGGAGTATTTTCCAATGTATGGAAGTGTTTTTGATGTTGTTTATAGACTGATATCTTATTTTATGATGTATATGAGTGTTTATTGAGGTTGTTTATGGACTAATATATCATATTATGATGTATAGGAGTGTTTATCAAGGTTGTTAATGGACTAATATCTCCAGTTCTACTCTATAGGTTTTTTGAGGGTGTTTATGTACTTACATCTCCAATTGTAGTATATACAGATGTTTATTGAGGTGGTTTACTATTCTTGTGTATAAGGGTGTTTATTAGGGTCATTAATGGACTAATATCTCCCATTCTATTGTACAGGAGTGTTTTTGAGATTGTTTACATACTTATATACTTACATACTTACATACATACTTCTCCTATTTCTAGTGTAGGAGTGTTTTCCAGTGTATGAAAGTGTTTTTGAGGTTTCTTATGGACTAATATCTCCTATTAAGGTGTATAGTAGTGTTTATTGGGGTTGCTTATGGACTAATATCTCCTAATAAGGTGTATAGTAGTGTTTATTGGGGTTGCTTATGGACTAATATCTCCTATTATGGTGTATAGTAGTGTTTATTGGGGTTGCTTATGGGCTAATATCTTCTATTCTACTCTATAGATGTTTTTATTGAGGGTGTTTATGAACTAACATCTCCAATTGTAGTGTATAGAGTATCGCTTATTCTGGTGTATAGGAATATTTATTCAGGTTATTCATAGACTAATATCTCCTATTCCAATGAAAAGTTTGCCAAGATTGTATCTTATTCTACTATAGAAGTGTTTATTGAGGTTGTTTATGGATTATTTCCAACTGTAGTGTATAGAATTCTTTACTGAGGTTGTTTGTGGATTATTATCTTCTTTTCTATAATATTCTATAGTGTATGGATTCATTTCTTCGACTGTATTGTCTACAAGCATTTATTAAGTGGTGCATCTCATTTGCTGTTGTGTGAATCTGGCAAGTTGAAGGCTACTTGTTAATGGAAATATCAGATTTGTTGATGTATATGCATTTTGTAGGTCCCTCAGATAATATTACCAATATTCAGAGTCACAAATTAAGAACATAAAATGCTCATTTTGGTTTGATTTTGTCTTCCGTTGCTGTGTTTTGGCTTTTAAACGTTTGAGCAGCAAGAGTCTGTTTTTTCCATTACATGCACACTAAGAGAACCGAGCTGAGCACACCACTTTAAAGATTTCAGCTGAAGGGTAACTTAATTTTTTCCTTTTTCTGAGAAGCGCTGAGTGTTGCAGTGCTCACACAGACAGGTAGGATGTTTGGTTTGAGTCTTTGGGGGTTTATGAGTTCCTGTGTGAGCCACCCACTCACCTTCAGCAGATTAGAGCTAAAAAACAGACACGGGGGGAGGGAGAAAGAGAGAGAGAGAGAGAGAGAGAGAGAGAGAGAGAGAGAGAGAGAGAGAGGGAGAGGGAGAGAGAGAGAGAGAGAGAGAGAGAGAGAGAGAGAGACAGAGAGAGAGAGAGAGAGAGAGAGAGAGAGAGAGAGAGAGAGAGAGAGAGAGAGAGAGAGAGCATACAACTTCTGTCTTTCCACTCTCTATAGGGGTTTGTAGTACATATGGAACAAAATAGAGGGGTTTCTCTAGAACAGAGCGTTTCACACCAAACCGTTCTGAACATCTTAACCGTTTAATTATGCAGAATTCCACTTTAAGCTTACATAAAATAATCTGTTTATAATCTCAGCATAGCGTACGTGTTTACTATGGAAGAATATGACCTTTTTAAAAGAAACAAATTTGGTACAAATGACCAAGTTGATAAAGAAAATTCATAGCATTTACAGTAGGCATCTCAAACTACCGGCCTGTATGAACACAGCTTCATACAGTCTTCAATCCAGCCATTTTCCCCCACATCTAAATATTTACATCTGTCAGATAGATCCGCTTTTCCCACCAGACACTGCGACTGGCTGCCCTACATAAAAAGTAAAAATGAAGTGATGCATGAAAGAGAAACCATACAAATGAAAACTTCATGCAGCATAATGCTGCCCACTGAGCAGGTCCGTTTGAAATTTAGCTAAAACTACCTATTATTACTCTAATTTAGACAGATAGCTACTTAAATCTGCCTTCGTGGATTCATTCAAGACAGAGCAGTAGATACATACATACATCATCTAAACCGCTTATCCTTCTGGGTCACAGTGGGGTGCTGGAGCCTGTCCCAGCTGTCACTGGGCGGGATGCAGGATACACCCTGGACAGGTCGCCAGTCCATCGCAGGGCAGACAGACATACACAGTCATACCTAGGGGCAATTTAGCAGGTCCAATTGGCCTGACTGCATGTCTTTGGACCGTGGGAGGAAACCCACGCAGACACGGGGAGAACATGCAGACTCCACACAGAAATGACCCTGGTCGCCTGGCCGGGAATCGAACCCAGGCCCTTCTTGCTGTGAGGCGACAGCGCTACCCACCGTGCTGCCCGTGCAGTAGATACAGCTTTTCAGAATTAAGATATGAATGCAGTTGTTAAACAAATCCTCTGAGGAAGCAGATGAACTGCTTTCCTTCACTAACACCTCAGTCCTGATAACTTCACTCATGTTCTGTAATTTTAAATGTGAGTGTACTTAATGTAATGAAACACTGAAGTATTTACTAGTCACTCTAGGTAACTGAGCTAGCTATAAGGCTTGCATTGTTCTCTACGCAGTACATGTGTTTGCATTAAAACTGCGCTCAAAAATGAGCAAGAGGGCAAAATGTCTTCAAGTGGCAAAGACAAATGAACGATTCCACTGGGTGGGTCAGTTTCCATGTCACCGCCTCATTCAGCAGCTGGGACTAGTTTTCATATCATTTATAGCTCACTATATCAGCAAAGACAGCCTACGTTTAGCTACATCTCATTGAAAGGGACACACTGGTAAATTATTAAATTGGTTTTTACGGCTGTCTGAACACATAAACTTACCTTATCATTACCTGAACACTGACACTGTTTATGGATATACAGATACACACACATATATATTATATATATATATATATATATATATATTTTTTTTTCCTCTTTTTTTTTCTCTAGTATCTGGTGCACACCATATATTATCGAGTGCTCACCACATAGTATCAGGGGTTCACCTGATAGTATCTGGTGCACACCAGATTTGTACCCCCCCAAAAAAATACACCATGTCCCTTTTACCTAAAATACACCACGTCCTTTCAGGGGCTCCACAGGTAAAAGTTACGGCACGATTTCTATTTGATGATGTTTTTTTCTTAGTGTATTAAACTCAGCAAAGAAATATAAAATTGTGCCCTGAAATTTGCAGAAAATTCTTATTCTTTTGTGTTTCCTGTGGGGGATGTCTGAACTTATTTTCACTTAGAAAAGCAACACAACGTATAATTTGACTGGGGTGCAAACCCATATATATGATTTGCATACAACTGTGTATATTATGTAGTTAAAAATATGGGATACTTTTTCCCTGCATTCTTTCCACCCTTGGAGAAGACCACCTGGCTGTTGGCCAGTTGTGTTTGAGACCCCTGATTTACAGTATTCATTCAGAGGCAGCAGCACTGCAGGCCGTGGAACCCATAGTCTAGATGGTTGTCTGATATGTCTTTTTTAGGAGGGTGAAGCTCTTTCGCTGGTGTAAATGAGCAGTGATTCTCTGAGAGAATGTTCGTTCAGCTGCATATTTCAGGGAACAATCCAGCAGCCGACGGTGGCTGAGGAGAAATGCGTTTGAGGTTTTGATTACTGCGGCTGCCACTGACTAGACTAGATATCAACTCCTCTAGTGATCCTAGGTGCTAATTATGTGGTCACCCCCCTACAGTAAACTACACTTTCCCAAACACATCTGGAGCTAAATCTGACAGGAAAAGCCCAGGCTGTCGTGTGAGACAGCGCTCATCTGTGCTTCCAGTAAGGACAAAGGGAAAACAGACGGTTCTATCAGCATTCAGTGCAGTTTTCACGTATCAAAGATTTTGCTATGAAAGTAGTCATTAAGAGCTTATTTTAGATGTAGGAACCTTCTGTCCAAATCAGAATCACTATAAGAGGCGAGTTTTGTTTCTATGCATTGATTTCTTCCTTTAAAGTGACAATCATGACAAAAATCTGTGGCTTTATCAGAGAATGTTCAAAGGTAGAATAAACGTTTCCCATTGCAT